GTTATGTAGCTGAACCTGGTTGTCCTGGACATCGGCGAGGAGTCATCAGGTCGGTAGCCACTCCATCGCCAAACTCGCGGAACTTGCACCTCAAGTCCGCAGGCGTGAAGATGTCCGGAGGCTTCCGCCTCTCACAGTCGGGACAGCGGTGGGCTTCTTCTGCCGCGATTCCCTCAGCCGAGCCACCCTGCAACCGGATGGCCCTCGCGAGGCTGGCGTTGGTCGGATGGTCGGTGTAGGTGTGCACCAGCTTGACCACGAGCTCGAGCTGCACCCGCTCTGCCGGGTCCATGGCGTCGAGGATTGCCTTGGCGCGAGCAGTGACCTTCTTGTTGTCGGCGTGACGTCGTAGCTGCGGCGAACTGCTTGAAGTCCCGAGGCAATGTCCTTCACGAGCGGGACGGTGTAGCGGCCGGTCTGATTGAGGTCCTTTCCGCTCAAGACTTTCGCGTGCACGTGCTTCCCGTCGCACTTCTTGTAGAGCTTATCAACAATGGGCTGATGGTCAGTCAGGACCTTGAACCTTTTCCGAATAGGCTCCCCCTGCTTGTCTTGACGCCATGCCGACAACCGTTTAGCCCAGCTCGTAGTCCAAGAATGTACTGTTGTGGATATGGAAGAGCTCTGTCGGCGTGTTCTTTTCATTGTAATTCCATCTGTCGCTCGTGAAGGGTAGCTCGAAGCCCGTGGGAACTGCATGAGGTCGTAGCTCCCTCAGAAGCCAAACTATGTTGCGCAAGATTCTCTTATTCTCCTGTCGGGTCATTCTCATGCGAACTCGTTGGGCCAGGGTTCTGGAATTCCAGAGCCGCTGGTGCGTGCGCCGCGGTGTGCATGGGATACTCTGTTCCAAGCCACTGGTATCCTGCCAAGCTTCTTCTCCTTCGTGATCTTCACCAGTTTACCCTCCACGGTTCTTCTCTTTCGCAGGTCACGCTCGGGTAGGTGAACTCGAAAGGCTCGATTATGTCTGCCAGTGGCGTTGAACTCTCGTTCGCAGGCTATTGGGCTCACACGCCAGCTCGAACAGGTTGTAACTCCCTGGGCGTCCTCGTCGAATAGCTGCAGCTGCCTGCCCCCATGTACTTGATCTGTTTGCTCGAGCTGGATCAGCTTCTTCACATTGTTCGTGCTCACGTTGTGGTCGTGCAGCGTCTTAGCCTTGGCGATCCGGGCAAGGTTCTGCTTCTGCTGGCCTCAGCCGGCGTTCTGAACGAGGTTCGAGTAGTCTCCCTGGTCGCAGCCAACCATGTCCACATCATATTTGCAGCTAGGACAGAGCCCTTGCCGCTCACAGCTCGCGCACGTGCCAGTGCCACATGAGCAAATGAAGATAGCTGGGCTAGCACAGATGTGTCAATCGTGGCCTCCAAGAGGCCTTTCATGAAGCGTCACCTTCTTCATGCTCTGGGTCTCGTTGACGCTGGCGACCTCCTTGACTGCCTTCACGGTCGGACGGAGCCTCTGACCACAGGTTGAGGTGGCCGCTTGAGCTCCGCGCACGAGTGCCATGATCCTCGACGCCGTCCTGCCACCCGTGCCCTCGGTTGAAGCCTCCGAGGTAGCTCGTCGGTGACGCTCTCGTTCCTGGACTAGCTGCGCAGCACGTGGTAGGCGTCGGGGTTCAAGTCCAGCACGTCATGTCCAGTAGACCGATCTTGAGATAACCCAGTCTTATGAGGCACACTTGTGATCTGTCTCGGCGGTGATGTCTTGATATCAGGGTAACAGAATCCTTCGAACCGCCATTGCCAAGCTTGAATGTCTCGTTCACAGACTCGAAGGTCACAAGCTTATCGAAGCCTAGCGACGTCAAGTGTCCGTAGTAGTCGTCCCACCACGTCGTGCCCATCAGGCTCTTGGCGCATGCCGGATCGACAGCTCCTTTCTTATGCACCAGAGACGGGCCGTGACCACCGTGTTCTGGAGCACGGCGAGTGGGAATGCCACCTCGACCGCTTGGACATCAGTCTCGTTGTCGTCGTTATCCCCTCTAACCATCGCCTCCTGAACCTCTCGCGCACCAGGGCACTCCTGGATCGCCGGCCCAGTGGCCCCAACCGTCACGCGCGCGGCACGGGGAGTTCATCTTGCGCTTGTCGAGAGTGCCTTTGATCGGCTGGAACTTAGCTCCGCGTCCTGGCTTCCTGCCGGCGGCTAGTCGGCCTCGACCGCGTCCCGTCCTTGGCGGCGGGGCAACCGCGGCACCGCCGGAGCCAGGGGAGACGCCCTTCCTGAGGCTATCACGGGCCTGGCGTATTGTGGCCATCGCCTCAGGCAACTCCCAGAGCTGGACCGCCGCCTTCTCGATCGCTTCGGCCTGGTCCTGGTCGAGCTCCTCCTCGTTGATGTCACCGAGGTTGGTGGCCAGGGCCTCCAGCTCGCGCTGCACCAGCTCCTCTCTCCCATCTTCGTCGGCATCGTCATCCTCGGAGCCGTCGTCGTCCTCGTACTCGGTCGCGTTGACTGCTTTGGGTGGTGGCCTTCCTTTGCCACCCTGCTGCTGGTGCTTCTTCTGCTCGAAGGGTCGTCTCTGCTGTAGGTGTCTGCGTTCGTTGATGTGAATGTCTCGGAAGGATCCGCATCGCCGTCGTCTGCGCTTCTCGCAGCCGAGAGGACTCGCTCGCTGGTGCTGCAGTGAGCCGCTCGCTCTGCTCCTTGGTGACGTTTGGCCGCCGCGCGAAAGACCAGCCCCAAAAATCTCGAGGAAGAGGAGGAGGCGGAGGAGGAGGAGGGGGAGGAGGTGGAGAAGGAGGAGGAGGAAGAAGAGGAGGCGGACGAGGAGAATCATCGGTGAGCTCGACACCATCCTCAGAAGGCTTCGCCACCCCCTGCGGTCGAGCCTCGCGATGCAGTCCCCGAGATCCTGGCGCCCCCCTCCGCGCGCGCACTTCTGCGCCTCGAGGAGAGCCGCCGTGGGCTCTCTCTTTCCCTCTCCTGTTCTGCGCACCTTCGGCGGGCGCAGGGCTCCGATCGCCTCCGTCGGGCTGCGGAGGCCCCGCTCCAGGTCAGGGGGGAGTGTCGTCTCGCCTGTCTGCTTCCCCCTGCCTTCGGGTGGGTCGGCTCGTACTTCATCTTGACCTCGATGCGGCTGTAAGTCTGCGCTCTTGAGCGTCAGGGCCGTTCTGCGTGCCGCTCCCCGGAGTTTCCTGACCATTCTAGCTGCGATGCTGTGCTGCACGTCCGAATCCAGCCCGAGCGCCCAGATGCGAGCCTCCTTTTTGTAGGTTATCCACGACGCCTGGTTGCCGTCCCAGCCTGGAATGTAGCTATCTTCGCGCTGCAGGTGCGGGTCCATATCTGCCGGGCTGCTGGCCACGAGGAACAAAACACAGGCGAGGAAGAGGACAAGCATGTATTAGAGGAACAGGGTGATGGGAAGGTCCTGCGCTGCAGGGGACCGCGCTGCGGCCAAGGCCAGGAGACCGCTGGCGCTGCCGGATGGATATCGCTGATATCTCTATATGGATGAAGCCTTTTGCTGCTCGCGTAGCTAGAACTGGTCAAAGTGCCTGAGCCCAAACGATAGCAGACACATACTTGCTACAAAACATGCTGCACACACAATTGATCACTCACAAAAGGGAGCTCCACCGAAGGCCCCAGTGCCACCGTTCACATGCGTCCCCCCACCCACTTTGGCACACCCCTCACACGATTTGTGGCCGCATAGGGAGCTCCACCGAAGGTGATATTCACAACTACGTTACTCACAACTGCATATGGTTGCGTCTTTCGCCAGGCTGATATTATAGACGTGCATCAATTGTTTTATCTTGGACATTGGATCTTGATATCCATGCGAAAGCCAAGTTATCCGAGTAGTTTCGGCACGCGCGCGATCCGTCGCGCCCCTGTGGACTCCGACACATTTTCGTTGGAATGGGGTTTTAAGACATGAGTGATTTTTGCTCGACGAATGGGCGCGCATGGTTTATTTGTCAGGGATGGGGGCGGCAGCCCGGCTTGGCTGCATTGGTATGGCTTCATACGAAACGTGAGCGATGGGGATAATCATAAATGAATTGCACATCCCCAGGGTGACAGATAATGCCTGCGGGCTGTGGGGTTGCGTAGATCCTTACTCGCTTTTTTAGGAAAAAAGAGTATACGCGGTGCAATCTGCGTTGTGCAGTTTAGGCGACGACGGGTTGGCGACGGCGACCACATAGCCGCAAGACCGGCATTGAGACCCTGACGACGGGCGGCGACGATGGGGCTATGGCGACAGCATAGCCGCCAAAACAACAGTTAGGCCCAGATGACGGGCGGCGACGAGGTGGCGACGGGGCGGCGACGGCCACAACATAGTTGCCAAACCGACATTCAGGCCCAGTTCCTCAGAGAAGCAGTACTACCATCTAGGTGCAAACGTTGTGTAGTAACAAAGTAAACAAAAAAACGGTTTGCAAACATTGCTTGGGAAGTCCACATCTGGTAATTATTTATGAACACACAAGTTGGTATACGCGTACCTGTTTTTATTATATATTTGGATCTTTATCCTTATTAATTGTTGTCGCTATCGCATGTGCACAGCGATTATGCGTGGTGGACGCTACGCTCGCATGAGTTTCCCCTTCCATTGAGACGATCCCTTGGGCTGCCTGGGCTCGTTCCACTTGGGACGTCTTGGGTCTCGGGCTGTGTGGGGGCTCTATCAGGGCTTTTTTCGGGGCTCTCTCAGGCCCTCTTGGGCCAAGGGCCTCTGGAGGCTCTCTTGGGCACTCTTGTCGCCCTCTGGGGGGCCTCTTGGGCTTCCCAGCGGCGTCTTAGAGCGTGGTCCTTCAGAGGCCCGTCTGTGCCGTCTTCGGTGGGAGTCCCAGAACCGTGTCATGCACCACGTGGCGGAATTGACGCTCCTGGCGGGGGGTTTGGCATGGGCGAAGATTTCGCACGCCTGTTCCCCCCCAGGGTGTCGGCGAACCCGTAGGAACGCCTGCTCAATCGCAGCAGTTTTCTCGCACGAAGCTGGCTTTTGTGCCACACCGCGTGGCGCCATGGGGAAGCTCGCGGCCCTAGAAGGGAGCATGATGACGGCAGGCTCCAGCTATTCATTGTGGGGCAGATGAGGAAGGAATCATGGTCAAGGGGAAAAGCTGACCAGCTTGATTGTACATTGGCCGGACGCAGTTCTTGTGTGCTGGTGTTCTTCGCGCTGCATATTTATGCAGAATTGAGCGAGAACCCTTCCGCCAAATAGTGACATTAGCTCAATCACGCGGTTGAGTCTGACTTGTTTGTTGCCAGAGGTCTTGCAGTGGTAAGCATGTTTTCAGCGGCGTGGCTAAGTTCACCAGTTCCACGCGAGACATTATATGGTAATGAACTTGTTCACGGGGCAGGGGCCGCCAGGCCTATGAATTCCAAGATTATTACGATGAGTTTCTCAGTATGCGAGGGGGGGGGGCCGGCGCCTGCGCCGGCAGCTAGCAAACATATTTGTGTCACATCCAGCCCGCAGTAACTATGGTGGTGGTGGTGGTGGTAATGATGATGATGATAATTTTGATGCTACCGATGACGACGATTACGAGGACAACGCTGACGATAATATGATGACGGTGATGATGATCACGACGATGACGGTGATGATGATGACGATGATGACAGTTTGGTGATGATGGTGATGGTGGCATTGATTTTGCTGCTGATCATGATGAAAACGATGATGAGGATGATGATGCTGATGATGATGCTGATGATGACGATGATGATGTTGTTGTTGTCGACGATGTTGTCGACGATGTTGTCTTCATACTGATGGTGACGATATGGATGATGATACTGATGATGATGATGCTGATGATGATGGTGATACTAATGATGATGATCATGATATTGATGAGGCTGCTGATCAATAATGGCAACGATGATGCTGATTCTGATGATGATGTTGCTGATGCTTATTGTGATGATTCTGAACATGATGATGAGGATGATGATGATGATGATGATGATGATGATGATCGGCCTGATGATGCTGATCATGATGATGTCAATGAGGTCTTATAACGATGGTTGTGGTATTGATGATGATCAGATGCTGAGGATTACATTGATGATGCTGACGATGATCAGGATGACGAGGATGCTAGTCGTACCGATGATGATGATGATGATGATGATGATGATGATGATGATGATGATTATGATGATGATGACGACAATCTTCATGCTGACAACTTTGCCGATGATGATGACGATGTTGCTGCTGCTGATGATCATGGTGACGATGATGATGATGAGGATGATGATGATGATGATGATGATGATGATGATGATGATGCTGATGATGATGATGGGGACAATGCTGCTGCTGCTGATGACTATGATGATGACGATTGTGATGATGATTACGAGGATTTTGATGATTACGATGATGATGATGATGTTGTTGTTGTTGTTGATGACGATGATGCTGATGAGGATGATCACGCGGGCGCTGAGGATGATTCGGATGGCGATGATGATGATGCTGATGATGATGATGATGATGATGATGATGATGATGATGATGATGGTGAGGAGGATGATTCTCATCAGGATGATGATACTCGTGATGCTGCTGCGTATCATTACGATGACGACTGTGTTCATGCTGATGACGACGATGATGATGACGATGCTGCTGCTGCTGCTGCTGGTGATCAATATGATGATACTGGTATCAATGATGACGGTCAAGATCATGACGATGGTGCTGTTGATGACGATGATGGTAACGAGATACACGAGCATACAGACGTTGAATCTAAAGCTGCAGGCGCATACAATTATGACGATGATGATGATGCTGATGATGATTATGATGCTGATGCTGCTGATGATGATGGCGATGCTGCTGATGATGATGATGATGTTGATGTTGAGGTTGATGAACATGATGTTGCTGCTGATGATGATGATGATGATGATGATGATGCTGATGATGGTGCTGATGCTTATGCTGATGCTGATGTTGATGCTGATGCTGATAATGATCATGCTGCTGCTGGTCATGATGATGTTCATGATGTTCATGATGATGCAGATGATGATGATGATGATGATGATGATGATGATGATGCTGATGATGATGATGATGATGCTGATGCTGCTGATGCTGCTGCTGCTGATGATGATGATGATACTGATGATGATGATGATGATGATGATGATGATGATGATGATGATGAGGAGGAGGAGGAGGAGGAGGAGGAGGAGGACGAGGAGGAGGATCAGCAGGAGGAGGAGGAGAAGGCGCAGGAGGGGGAGGATGAGGACCAGAGGAAATCCAAGATGCATCAATCAATCCTGCCATACACCCTCAGTGTCCGAGTCCCTTCCTCATAAGTCCATACGAGTCTTCTTTTTTGAAAGACGACTGGACTGTGGGTCCGCCAGTCAGACGGGGCCGCCTGTTGTAAAGGATCTTCCTCTCGCTTGAAGGACGCCCAGGGTAACCCCATTTTGAGAAGCACATGCCCTTCCCCTTCATTCCTCTCAGCGTTGCATGATGTCAACGTCGTGAACGTGTGCCCCGCTGAAGTTCCACGTGACAGCCCTTCAAGGAGGCCTAGGGGTAGCTTCATTTTGAGAAGAGCATGCCCTCCATCCGTCTAAGCGCTGCAGGATGCCAGAATTCGTGGGTATGCTTTGCGGAAGTCTCACACGGGAGCCCCGTTTCGAGAGATGAGCCGCTTCCATCCGTGGTAGCTGTTGCACACTATGGAACGCCAGGTCGTAGCGGGCGAGGAAATGTCATGTGAGTGTAGATGGTGCATGTTGTACTCGAATGTCTGCGAGGCTGAGCGGAGCCCAAAACGGTGGGGGACTTAGTTCAGGAATGTGCCGAGGAGGCTTCAGACCCTGGAGGATTCTTTATCCGATGAGGGCGGCGGTGTTCTCCATGCCCGGTCCACGATTGGAGTTCCATCGGTTTCAAGATCCTGGATTTCTTATCTGAGGCATCCTTGTCCGATGCCCCCACCGTTGTGGAGAGGATCCGCCATCCATTCGCGCAGCTAATGGCAACTTCGGGAGCCGAGTATGCACGGCGCCAGGGCGAGAGCCCCTTTTTGGAACCCGACCCGCCCTATCTGTGTCTTGGTTGTGTAGAGCGATCGATGGTATGCGCCGCCAGGACAGCGAGAGCACCACTGTGAAAACCGTTTGTGGTCCACGCGTCGACGCGATGTGAGTTCATCTGCTCTTTGGGGCTTCTTGCGGCGACGGGGACGAAGAACCTGAGTGTGTGGGTGCTATTGCTGCTGGTGGCGACGGCAAGCCTGGGAACGCTTGGGGAAGGATGGAAACGTCTGGGAGCGCGCTGGAGCGTCGTGGAACGTCTCGGAGCGCCTGGGGCAGCCTTGGGCGCGCTTGGGTCTAAAATCGAAGTCGGGGAGGGGCGCCCGAAACGTATCGCTTTATGGTATATTTGCTATATCTTTGTGTCTTTCTGCCTTTTGTGCCCACGTGCTCTTCGGGGCGAGGGGGTGGGTAGATGTTGAAGATCAGCATGTGCGCACCCAGCTCCATCCTTTACATAACACGGTGAGGGTTGTGTCGGATGGATGTGCGCCGAATGTGCTGTGCGTAGGATGGTGAGGGTTGGGTCGGATGGATGTGAACCGAACGGTATCTTACATCGGAATGTGCAAGCTTTGGGTCGTATGGGTTTACGCGGCATAACATATTTTGCATCAGGTGGTGACGGTTCGGTCGGATGGGCGTGCACCGTATATCTCGGTTGCGTAGAATGGTCAAGTTAAGTCGTATTGATGTGCGCCGAAAACCAGTTTCTCTGTAAAGGGTGGTGCGTGTTGGATCGTATGGGTGCAAGCAGATTTGTTTTTCTTACATCGGATGGTGATTGTTGGGTGGGATGGTTGTATGCTGAATGTTTCTCCATAGGATGGTGGGGCTGAGCCGTGTGGATATGCGCGGCGGTCGAGCGAGAGCCGCATTTTGAAAGGAGAGCCGTCATCCGTCTTTGAACAAGATGCACGTTTTAAAGAGTAGCTCGGGCTGAGGCGGGAACGACTGTTTGAAAGCCACTCAGGCTTTATCTTTCAAGTGATGCAATTTTGTAAGGCGAGCGTGCGCGACGCTAAGGCGAGAACCGCATTTAGAAAACCACCCGGGTTCTATCCTTAGCGGCTGCAGTTTTTGATGACGAGTGTGCGCGGCGCAAAAACGAATCATACTTATAGAATAGCAATAAGAATACGAATACGAAGATGAGTAACAGCATGCTGACGTGTAGTAATAGCATTACTACTGCTACTGCTCATATTAGTAATCGTATTTAACATTAGCATTCTTATTAGCAACACTCTCAATCAGTGAAATTAGAAATATGAGAACATAGTATTAGTAGGACGATTATCACTACGCGTAGTACCACTACGAGTACTAATAATCATAATAATTGAATTATTCTTCGTATCAGTCCAAGTACACGTAACATTACTATTTGTAATACTAGTTTAAACACGATTATTCGTAGTAGTAGTAGTAGTAGTAGTAGTAGTAGTAGTAGTAGTAGTAGTAGTAGTAGACCACATCAATGCAGTATCCCTGCTACTACTAATGATACTATTCGTACTTGTGAATGTTCATACTACATCGAAAATTCCGAATACCCATACTCTTACGAGTGCTACCAATACTATCAAACATAGTAATAGTGTTCATACCTCGGAATACCAATACTTGTACTAACAAGACTGGTACTGATTTTTTTGTTGGTTAAACAAGCGTGAGTAGGATTATTACTAGTAGTACTACTAGAAGCAAACATGCACACCATAATCCCAGTTATGGTACCAGTAACAATACTACTAACAATACAACTTATAATCTTATTAGTGGTGCCGGAGGAAACAAACCCACATATAATGTTTTTAGGGTTTTAGGGCAAGGGGGCTGTAGGGCTATATGGCTGAAGGGCTATAGGGCTATAGGGCTATAGGGCTATAGGGCTATAGGGCTGTAAGGCCACCCGAGCACGTGGCCACCAGGGCAGCCGAGCACCCTGGCACCCGGGCCAGCCACCAGAATCGGCGACGAACCTCACCTGACCATATGGATCCGCTAGGATCCCTACAGAGGCAAGCTCTGATGTGGGAATAATACGAATAATGAGAATATTCAGACTCGGAATAAGAAAAAGGAATACCAAGAGGAGGAGGAGGAGGAGGAGGAGGAGGAGGAGGAGGAGGCGGAGGAGGAGGCGGAGGAGAGGAGGAGGAGGAGGAGGAGGAGGAGGAGGAGGCGGAGGCGAGGCGGAGGTGGAGGCGGAGGCGGAGGCGGAGGGGGAGGAGGAGGAGGGAGGTGGAGGAGGAGGAGGGAGGAGGAGGAGGGAGGAGGGAGGAGGGAGGAGGGAGGAGGGAGGAGGGAGGAGGGAGGAGGAGGAGGGAGGAGGAGGGAGGAGGGAGGGAGGGAGGGAGGGAGGGAGGGAGGGAGGGAGGGAGGGAGGGAGGGAGGGAGGGAGGGAGGGAGGGAGGAGGAGGAGGAGGAGGAGGAGGAGGAGGAGGAGGAGGAGGAGGAGGGAGGAGGAGGATCAGGAACGCGTGCATTTTGCACGCGCGGCACCCTGGAGTTTTCTCTGAGTCCTGGCGAGGGTGAGCGGGAAGGGTGCCAGCGGCGGCATGGGGTGGGGCAGACAAGGGTGAATGGTGAGGACGAGGATGGGGATGAGGATCGATCCGCTTGCTCCTTCTTTAGCTCGATGGATGGAGGGCTGGTCCTGCAAACCAGGTTCTCGCCCCAACGGCACGCTGAAGCGGGAGACTTGAGACTGGGACCGAAGTCGAGGGCGTCAAAGACGCCCCCACCCTGGTTTGCGACGCGCTGTGCGCTGAACCTCCTGTGGGCTGAAAGGGTACACCCTGCGCATCGCGCGTGTCGCGCGATGTTCCTGGCGGCTCTCTGGCCTTTGGAGCTCCCAGGAGGCTTACAGACCACGCACTCGTAACCCAGGGTAGTGGCGTTGTTTATTCCCTCAAGGAAGGAGCATCTGCTCTTCCGCTAGGAGGGCCCATCGCACCCACAACAACCCGAGGGCGGGAAGAAAACAGGATCGCGAGGGCGTGCCCCCGGGACCCGGGCTGGCGAGAAGGCACTCGCGACCCCGCGCCAGCCCCTGACCTTCGCGAGCCCCTCGGCCTCCTCGTTTCGACTAGACGTTATAGTGACCCTTCGTCGGAGTGACCTTCGGTGCGGGCCCACTGGGGTCCCCTGATCGCTACACTCGAAGCGGTATCAGCGGGTTGCGAGCCTGGGTTTGGCCACCCCGCGTCACCGTTACGCCGCGCACCAAAGGTCACTCTTGCCTCGGGTCATTCTTGCGTGCAGCCGACTATTTCTGGCGGGACAGACGAGAAGAGAATGGCGATGATTCGTGAGTTGGTGATTCCCAAATATCTCGTGGCGGAATTCCGGGGGGCGGGGGGGGCCATGGGCGTGTGTAGTCGGACGGGGGCCCATCCGTCGGGGGCCCGAGCGCTACTTGCAGCGCTTCCATCGCTTTGCCCCTCTGCAGGTTTCAGCGCGTGTTGCTCTTTCATCAAGGATGAGCATGGGGATGAGGATGGCTCGGTTGGTCCTTCGCGCCCGTCCAGGCGCCGCCGCCTGCGGCAGCACCATCTCGGCCGTGGCCGTCGCGGCGGCAGGAGCCCCCGCCTCGCCCCTGTCGTTTGGCCGTCTGTCGGCGGGCCGTCTGTCGGCGGGCCGTCGGGCTGTAGCGTGTCGGTCGTGCGAGGCCTCGAGGGTCGAGGTTCGGGGAGGGAAGGGGAAGGCAGAGGACGGGGAGGAGAAGGAGGAGGAGGAGGACCTCAGAGTAAACCCGAGGCCCATCAGCGACATTGCAATAAACCCTCCCTCCCAGTTCCCTCTTCATAGGCCCCTACAAGGATTTCTCTGGACTGAGGGAAGTTCCCGATGGAGAACAACTGTTTCAACATCCTGAACTTTGCCAGAACACCATTCCTGGGACTTTATCGCCGCGAATAATTCACCGTTACTGCTGCGTCTTCACGATCCCGAATCGCGCTAGAACACCATTCCTGGCACTTGAACACCGCGAATCAACGTACGTAATTGTTGCTCCCTGACAGTCGGACATTGTGCCAGGTCACAATTTCGGGGACGTCAATCGTGAGAATCCTTGAAATTGATGCGAAGTCTAAAACGAATGTGCGCGGCGCTAAGGCGAGAGCCACATTTTGAAAAGGAACCGCCCCGCATCCGTGAAATCCTTGCACATGTTTACGACGAATGTGTGCGGCGCTTCGGCGAGAGCCACATTTTGGAAAGGAACCGCCGCCGCCGGCGCGCCGGGGCCAGCGCCAGGGTGGGTGGGGGTCGGACCCCCCCTGCGCCCGGGGGGGGTCGGGGAGGGGCAGGGAAGGGGGCAGGGAAGTCCCCCTGGTTTTGTTCGACGGCGCCGAAAGTTGGGGGGGGTGCCCCCCCCTGGTTCAATTGCGCTGCCGAATGTTCCCAAGGCAGGCGTACGTGAAACGCGCTCCCTCCGAAGCTGATGATGCTGATGATGATAATGATGATGACGATTGTGATGGTGATGATGACGATGACGATGACGATGACGATGCTGATGATGATGATGGGTATTTCGATGAGGGTAACAATGGTGATGATGATGCTGCTGATTCTGATTAGACTGATGATGATGCTGATGCTGATATTTTTTATGAGCATGATTGCGATTGTGAACCTGATGACGGCGATGACGAGAATGACCGGGGGACTGACGATGACGATATCAATGATGCTGTGGATGATGAGGGGGATCCGGAGGAATATGACGATGAAGATGACGATGATGATGCTGATGTTTATGCTGATGCCGATGATGAGGATGATGATGATGATGATGATGATGATGATGATGATTATGATGCTTCTGATGATGATACTGGTGATGGTGATGATGATGATGGTGGTGATTGTGATGACGATGTTGATGATCATGATGCCGATGCTGCTGCTGATGACGACGACAACGACGATGATGACGATGACGATGATGATGACGATGACGATGACGATGCTGCTGCTGCTGATGATGATGATGATGATTTTGATGCTTATAGTGATGATATAATGCTGCTGCTGATGCTATTGATGATGCTCATCATGATGGTGTTTGTGATGAAGATGATGAAGATGGTGCTGATGCTGATGCTGATGATGATGATTGGGATGATGATGATGATGATGATGATGATGATGATGATGATGATGATGATGATGATTCTTGTGATGATGATGGTGGGGATGATGTTGATGATGGTGATGTTGATGATGTTGATGCTGCTGCTGATGATGTTGATAACGATGCTGCCGCTGATGATCTTGATGCTGACGATGACGATACTGATGATGATGCTGCTGATGATGCGGATGATAATGATGACGATGGTGATCATGATGATGATGCTTATGATGATGATGATCCTGATCACGATGACGATGATGATGATGCTGTGGATGATGATGATGATGATGGTGACGGTGATGGTGATGATGCTGATGCTGATGATAAGTATGATGATGCTGCTGCTGATGATGATGATGATGATGATGATGGTGATGGTGATGATGATGATGATGATGCTGCTGATTATGATTAGACTGATGATGGTGCTGATGATGTCAACTTTTATGAGAACGATTGCGATTGTGAACGTGATGTCGGCGATGACGAGAATGACCGGGGGAGTGACGATTACGGAGTCAATGATGCTGTGGATGATGAGGGAGATACGGAGGATTACGACGATTAATATGACGATGATGAGTATGATGATGATGCTGATGATGATGATGATGATGATGATGATGATGATGATGATGATGATTCTGATGATGCCGATTCTGATGATGATGCTGCTGCTGATGATGATGATGATGTTGATGATGATGATGATTCTGATTCTGCCGATGATGCTGACGATTCTGATGATGATGATGATGGTGGTGGTGGTGGTGTTGATTGCGATGATGATGCTGATGATCATGATGCCGATGCTGCTTCTGATGACGACGATGACGACAACACCGATGACGATGATGATGACGATGACGAGGACGATGACGATGACGATGCTGCTGCCGATGATGATGATGATGATGATGATGATGATGATGATGAAGATGATGATGATGATGATGATGATGATGATGATGATGATGATAATATTCATGATGGTGATGACGCTGATGATGATGATGATGCTGATGATGATGATGATGGTGATGATGATGGTGATGATGCTTATGATGATGATGATGATGATGATGATGATGATGATGATATTCATGATGGTGATGACGCTGATGATGATGATGATGATGATGATGATGATGATGATGATGATGATGATGATGATGATGCTGATGATGATGATGATGATGATGATGATGATGATGATGATGATGATGATGATTGCTTATGATGCTTATGATGCTGCTGCTGCAAACCTCAATAGTAGCGTCAATGCTTTTGGCTATTATGGATGTGATAGTGGTGATCTTATTGAGCGCCCTGATGGGACAAACACGGCCGCTTTGGGATCGTGGAATTCGTGGGATGGGGGGAGGCAAGACTGCGCCAGAGAGTTTATTGGGGTCCTCGTCGGGCTCTGTTGGGGCGTCTCGGGGCCCTAGTGGGGCCTTCTTGGGGGTCTCTTTGGCTCTTCGTGAGAGTTCTAGGGGGCATCTGTCGCAGGAGTGGGGTAAATGATGGACACGGGCGGGGAAAAACCAGTCCCAGTTGTTTTTTGGCTCCTGGAGGGGGCCCTAGGGGCTGGGGGCTCTCTGGGGGCGCCCCAGACGGCCGAAAAATGTGCCAAGAAGGCGCCCAGACGGCCGAGGAGGGCCCCGAGAGGCTGTGAGGACGGCCGCGGAGAACATCCGCATGTTCCAAGATACTTCGCTCATTCCGCCGGCCCGCATTGCCATCGTCTGCGTTTGCGTGCGCGTTCGTGGGCCATGCGGCACTGCTGGTCGGCGCTGCTGGTTGGGGGGCGCCCGTGTGACAGTTTTAGGGGCTACCGGGGGCCTCCGGGGGGCGCCTTGGATGCCTCTTGGGGCTTTCTTGGCGCCTCTTGGGGGCTTCTCGGACCCTCTTGGGGTTTCTTGGGGGCCGCTTGGGGCAGCTTCCACGTCTCTTGGGGCCGAGGGCTCGAAGTGCCCGTTCGACTTCCTCTCTCTGGGCCCTTTCTTGGGGCCGTCCTAGGGCTTTCCCTGTTCGTCTTGGAGGCCGTCTTGGGGCCCTCTTGGGCCGTGGTGGGGTTCTCTTGGAGGCCTCTCACTGAGGCCGTCTTGGAACGATCTTAGGGGCTTTGTGGACCGTCTTAGAGCTATGATGGATATGATAGTGGTTACTTAAGTGGCTTGCGCCATTCCGTCGACCCCCAGAGGGATCGTGGATTGTGGACGTGACAATGGTGGTTCAGGAGCCTGTTGGATGCATGTGATGATATTTTAGGGGCTGTTGGGATGCTTCTCAGGTCCATCTTGGAGAGCTCTTTGTGGCATCTGGCGTGCTTTTTTTTGGGCTTCCTGGGAGGCTCTTGGGGCTTCTTGGGGGCCTCTTGGAGACCTTTGGGGCCTCTCGGGGGCGTCTCGGGGGCCTCTGGGGGGCTGTTTTGGGCCATTAATCAGTATTCGACCTCTTGGGCCACTCTTGTGGCCCTCGTCTAGGCCGTCTTGAGGGACCCTGGGGCCATCTTGGGACCCTTGCAGGCCGTCTTTGGGGCCCTCTTAAGAGCCTCATGGCCCGTCGTGGGACGATCTTTGGGCCCCTTTTGGCCGTCTTGGACGCTGCCAAGACGAACAAGGTGAGTGTACCAATGCATATCTATCTCTATATCTATATATACATACATACATACAGACAGACAGACAGACAGACAGACAGACAGACAGACAGAAATACATACATACATACATGCATGCATACATACATACACACATACATACATGCATGCATGCATGCATTCATACATACATACCTACATACACATACACACATACACACATATATATGTTATATGATGTTATAGTATACTATAATATATTATATTATCCTATATTTTATTATATTATATTGTGTGATAGTATGTAATATTATATTATATTATAATGTATTATATGTTATTGTATGATATGATATTATATAATATCATATTATATCATATTTTATTTTATTATATTGTATAATATCATATAATAAAATATGATATTATATTATATTATACTATATTATATCATATAATAACATATTATCTCATATCTTATTATATTATAGTAAACTATTTTAGATCATATTATATTACGTTTTATAATATTATATAATATCATATAATGTTATATTATAATATATTATATCATAATTTAGTTTATTACTTTATCATATTTTCTTATATTTTATTATTTCAAATTATATTATATCATTTTATTTTATATCATATTATACTATATTATACTGTCTATGATATTATCTGACATAATATTATATTTTATTATATCATAATATATCATACTATATAATACAATATGATTTTATAGTATCATATACGATATTATATTGTATTATATTATATTAAAGTATATCATATTATATTATATTATATTATATTATATTATA